ACAAGATGGGGGAAGAGAACTGCAAATAAGAAAGGATAAGTCATGTTCTTTATTTAGAAAGGCACAGCAATCACACAAGACAGTTCCCACTCATGTTAAGGAGATGGAGGAGACAAAAAGAGAGACAGACGTGACTGAGGCCTTGTTATCTACAATGTCCTGTTAAGAACTATCTTCAAACAAAACACTTTCAGCAGACAGGAACAGGATCCTGATTAGTGACAAAAGTATTTGAATCTTTTTCCAGCAATGCTGAAATGACAGATGTGAAAACTATAAAATAAAAACAGTTACACAAGTACAGAGGTAGGAACTCAGAGCACTAATGGAGAATGCAAAAATCAAACATCTTAGTGCCATCACAATTTTCCATATTATGAACTTCTGCCTTATGGACCAGCCTCCAGTCTTATTTGACAGCTCACAGGGCTATCACTGCAAGTTCTGTCATTTCTCTAGAAATACTAGCCTGCACAAAGAAGTAGGACTGGGAAAATCCTAATTTCAACAGTCTTCCAATGAGATATATACCTAGGGTGTTCAGAGAGAACATTCATGGCAACTGGAATGTTTTACTGTGAGATATATTGTTTTCCATTAATGTCCTCCAAAGAGGGGAATGTAAAATACTTTGAATAGAAACGCTGAAGATATATCGGGATTTAAATGGGCATTAGGGGCCTCCTCTTCCAGCAATACCATATGACCCAAACATCTTGGGGTCCTATGATGCATCCACAGACATGCTCATTTGCAAGCCTCTAGGCCATTCAACCTGAAGCTTAGTCCACCCCTGGTTCAAGTTATGTAATTCAGATGTGGACCTGTGTTAGTTGGAGGTGTTAAGTTTAACAGAAGCCTTAAGTTTGGGAATAAAGTTTCCTGGCGACTGAAATTTTGAGTATGCTTTGCTGAATATTTAATTTTCTAAAACAGTGTCACTCTAACCTTCTCTTCCATGGTTATAACTGCTGTATAGAAAGTATAGAGAAGTGTAATTTCTTACCTACTAGAAGAAAATTTAGGCTTTGTGACTAGTACCATCTAAATTTGATAACTTACTTGCTTCTCGTTTAGAGAACACAGTGTAGGATGTTTGGCTACTGTTAGCTTCTCCCATTTTCCTGCTTAAATTAGCACATGAAAACAGTAAAAGCGTAATCCTTCACGTGCGTTCTACACAAGAAGACATCTCCAAAGATCTTGGGGATATGTAACTGCTGTGACTGTTAGTACAAAATCATTCATTCGATGGTTGATTCAAACCCTATAAAGTCAAAGTAAAGACTCACTGATTTCAATCGTATTAATTTAAGACTAGCTCCACAGCTCACTAAGTTGAAACTCAATGCCAAGGCTAATGGCACAGTTACTGGCTGTCTATAGGAAAAAAACCAACGACTAAACTAACATAGAAACAACTACTTTATTCCCTACTTGGGAATGGAAGAGTTCTGTGGAAACACACGCACAGATTTCTGCATCTAGTTTTGGCAATTTTGCCATTACTAACATTTTTAAGTACATTCATGACAACAGATTATTCAGTGCTTGATAATAAAACTTGAAAACTATTGCAGTTTTCTGCTAATGTAAAAAATCAGCAGCACACAAAACAGAGCAGTCTAGCACACAGAAAGCAGTCTAAATAGAAAGATATGGATCAACTGTAGTCAATAATGTAAGGAAACAAGGAAATAATTCCTGGTAACTCTCTGCCTGAAGGATGTCCAAGTGTCATTTACTGTGAATAGCAATTTCACCTCTTCTTCTCCAAACTAAAGTCACATCAGCCCAATCAACAAAAATTATCCTGAGAGAACACATACAGAAATCAGATATATACAGTAAATCAACAGTCCATTACATTTATTGCTCATTATTCACAATTTTACACTTCCAGATAAAATGGCGGTGGACTGTATGGTACCACACTCAAACCATAACTGTGCAACACACTTTGGTGTCATTTGGTATTAGTGCATTTAGTACATTTAACAATAGCTGAAACCTGATTTGCCAGTTTCACATCAAACCACAAGAAACCACAGCTGAAAGAGGAGCTGTTACCAACAAATTAAATTATGTGTATGTCTATCAGAAATTAGAGTATGGGTACATACACAAGGCTGGATTTATATAAGGTTATATTACTTCCTGACCCAGGTCTTGAAACTACTTCCAGAATCCCAGAATTAGAAGTGTGTGCCTTAGTATTCAGCTCCATTGTACTCCAATATTAATGCGGTTTGAATGGCAAATTACAGTTGTGAGATAATTTCAGAAACTGCTAGCCTCCTGCTAGTGGCCATTTTCCAGGTGAAAGCAAAACCTAGCTGAATGAGTTCTTTCTCCCTACATCCCTCAGGAGCACTAAGCTCCAGATTTCACTTGAGAGCAGTGCTGTCACCATCTGAGAACTGAAGGCAGTCAGCTGAGTGAGCCCTTCCTCTATCTTACCAGATGCGCAGAATTATGTCTTGTTTTAAACGATGGGTGGAGCAGAGCCCATGGTAGGGAAA